ATGTGATGAGAGGGGAGCGGCGCCGGAGAAAATTTGCCGTTTCAGCGCGCGTATATATCACCTAGAAAGTGGAGACATTGAAAAATGGGTAAAACACATGGAAAATGTAGGGGAATGTAGGGCTTTTTGTATATACCCCCCCCCGCTCGACGGTAATTTTTTGGGGTAAAAATTGTTTTGAAAGAGGGGGTCGTATGAAACATTTCATGAGGGAGGGGGGTCGTAAAAACTTTTTGAAAAGTAGCAACGATAGGACCGACCCTGCCTCGAACAGCGCGTGGTAAGCGTGCCACTTGCCACTACGCCACTGCTGCCCTATAGCATTCGATAACGGCTAAAAAATTTTTACCATTTTCACACGAAATAGGATGGTGAGCATTCGGAGCAATACGACCCACGGGGGAGGATTGGAGACCTTGAACATGCCGCATCGCGGGGTTCCATGGCCGACCAAGAACAAATTTACGATTGTTGTCGTAAGCGGGAATAGGAAGGTGTAGGAGGCGCTGTCATCGGTTGCAAAGTCAACGTTGGGGTCCACCTCTGTCGATTCAAGTTTCTATAGTTTCAAGGTTCACAAGCAGATATCAGACATGTCCGAAGGATGAAAACAATGAGCGCAATAGAATCACACCTGCGCAAGAGGTCCTAGTGCGTCACAGAGCTGCGTGATTTGAACTGAAGACGAGCATGCAAGACCTTTTTCTAAGGGAATTAGCAATAATTAATCGGAGCAGACTATCTTTCATTCCTTGACCCATACGGTTTTCCCATGAGTAACAGTAAGCTTTTATTAATTTAATCAATAACGAACTAAAATATGGACAAAGAAATTTGGGTTAGTGTTGTTGGTGATGTTGTGTTGTTGTTGTTGATGATGTTGTTGAAGCACTCTGATGTCTCCTCCCTCCTCGACTTCATGCCCACACGTCCCTAGTACTCTTCGCTGTACCACGAGTCCATCGATCTCTGAAGAAGCGAAATTCTGTCAAAAACACACGGCAATCACCCCCACTATTGAAATTCACTTTACGATGGGCATCGAAACGAATTAAAAGCGGAATTCGTTTAAGCGACGACCGTCATTCGTCGACAGCAGCTGGTCACCCAATTAGCCACGGAGCATGAAATTGCCACATAGGCGACACGAGTGCATTTGTAAACAAACCTTGTTGAAGTTGGGCTCAGCTATCGCACTTCTCCAGTCACGTCCGGTGAAACCCGGTCTGAAGTTACCCCTTCCGGACACGAGGCCGGCACCGCCGGATGGGATCCATTTTGCTGATCGCACGAAAAAGTCGCCTAAACGAGGGTTTTCACTTCTTGTTTCTGATTAAAGGAATCCTCCACGGAAAAAGCTCCGCCCTCATTACCACAGAAAACGATACCTTAAAGGAATCTTCCACGGAAAGAGTGATCATTTTGTCTTGTGTGTAGGATTAGTATTATCGAAACTAACGCTTATGTTCCGTTCTTTTTGCTATGCTCATGAGGCTAGGGGCCTAAGGGGTATCGTTTTTCTGTGGTAATGGAGGCGGAGCTTTTTCCGCGGAAGATTCCTTTAAGTGTCATTGGGTTTGCACCTACACTGGGAATAACTCAAGGATACAGTATTCTTCAAACCTACAGTATCACTGTGTATGCCTACAGCATGCACTGTGATGCATCTAGGAAGCATGAATTTAGCTATATAACCAATAAAGAGCAAACATTGCCCTCCCAGTGATGTTTTGCCACCACAACTAATTGGAGATGTCAGCCCTCATCCCATTACAGTACCCTTGGAATACGGTAAAAGAAAATCGATTAGGAAGGGAAAGCATCCAGATGTGTAGTTCTAATAGCATGAAACAACACATGAGATTTAAAGGAATACGACCTTCGTCCCAATTCGCCCCACTCCTCTTTGTCAATGTGTGAATAAACTGACTGTTGGTGAAAGCTGTGGCTGCGGCTACCATGGCCAAAAGAAGTCTGAGAACGATGTGCATTTCGCACCTATGGAACCTGAAAGATTGCGAGTAATCAATAAACTGTACTAAAATATCGCCAAGAAAGAAATCATGAATTGCACGGAATTCACGGAGCTGGCTTCAGCCAAGTGAAGAGCATTGAAACTCTTTTAGATGACAAAGGAACAATAATGTTAGTATCGGGAGAAGAATTCAGTCCCACCAAGATTTCTCGAGAAGGAGGTGCTTAGAAATGCGGATGAGGGGCGGGAAGGACCGAGATAAGAGGGACTGGAAAGGCGATGACAGGCGAATGGGATTGGCAGAGCCGTAGGCTGCCGCGGCTATGTCAGATGAGAGCCTCTGGGCAGCTTAAATACGAGAGTTCGATCCTGATGTGGCACGTAGCACTGGAGGACTATTAACTCATTCCAAATTACTGATGTGGGAGTTGACAAAAACGGGTCGGGTAATTGGATTCGGCTAGCCCACGATTCGCAACAAATAACAATAAAATTGCCCAAAATAGGTAAAGGGTATTCATTGCAAGCAGAAGTTTGTATAGTGCGAATATAGCAAGCTTAGAGCTGTAGACTCTGAAATTGGCGCTGAAGTCTTTCCAGCAAACCATACAGAATCCATTTGTAGGGTGGAGTACACTCTGTAAAGGCGCATCCCACGATGTATTCACATAAATGAATCTTTTTGATAATTAGGGATAAAGAATTCCTTCAAGTCCCAGATATCTCGTTCTTTTGGCTCGGAGTTGCGCGGCAAGACCGCTAGGGCCTTTTCATGACCGCTGCGAGCGCTTCCATTTTTTTCCAGT